TGAGTGGCGGACAGAAACATAGAGTGAGTTTAGCCCGAGCTGTATATCACGGGTCAGACATCTATCTGTTGGACGACCCGTTGGCTGCAGTGGACGCACACGTCGGACAACATCTCTTCCAACGAGTCATTGGACCGAAAGGACTGCTGAGGAATACGACACGAATACTGGCCACACATCACATGGAATTCCTTCGCGAAGCCGATCACATACTGGTGTTGAGTGAGGGAAGGGTTGTTGAGTCGGGCGGTTATGACGAGTTGGCTGAGAGGGGAGTGCTTTCCGACCACGAGTTCAATGAGTCGGACAATCAGTCCAAAGGAAGTGGGGATCAGATGTCGAGACAGACCTCTCGAGTCAGCGAAAGTGAATCGACGGCACAGTTATTGAGACAAATTTCAATGACTCAAGAAAATGAGCAAAAGATAACCGAAAATGAAGTGAAAAATAGTCAACTCATTGATAAGGAGACAGAAAAGTTCGGATCCATTAAAATGAGTGTATATTTGGATTATTTGAGACGAATTCCCCTAATCTACACATTAATCCCATTCATGTCTGCCTTTCTATTCAATGCGTGCGAAGTCGGGGCCAACTTCTGGCTCAACATCTGGACGACACACAACTCAACACAAGTGGACAACACTTTCTACTTAAGTGTCTATCTGTCGGCCATAGTATTGGAAGCCATGTTTGTCCTCACCTTTCAGATGATGCTGAGGACGGGTGCCGTAATCGCAGCCGGAGTGCTCCACAAAGACATGTTGTCTTGTATTCTGCGAACCCCTCTGTCCTTCTTCGATGTGACCCCTTTGGGACGAATCTTAAACCGATTCAATCGCGACTTCGAGCAGATTGACGTACGAATACCCTGGTGTTTGGGTGAAGCCCTGTTTCATATCATTTATTTCTTGTACATCGTGGCAATCGTTGTATACATGAACGCCTATATGACTATCCTTATACTTATTATCGTCATTGTATTCATTATTATTTATGTAAGATATAAGAAAATAGTTTTTATATTTCTAGTTTCTGTTTAATTTATTTATTTTAGAGAATCTATTTGTGGACTTCGAGACAATTAAATCGTTTAAATTCCATCACTCGGTCACCGATTTATAGTCACTTCAATGAAAGCATTTCCGGTGCCGTCTCCATAAGGGTCTACAAAGTGCAGCATTTGTTTACCGAAAAGTTACACAATTATATCGATGTCAATGTTAATATCCAAAAACATCTCTTCTCTACAAAGATATGGTTAGTATGGATCAGATAAAAGTAAACATTTCTTAAGCCTTGTTTTGTATTGCGTTTAGGATTAATATCTGGACCACAATTATAGGGTTATTAGTCTCATTCTCCACCTCATTGTATGTGGTGTTAGAAAGGGATAACATAACCCCAGGATTTGCAGGATTTGTGCTCATCTACTCAGTGAATGTCATCGAAAATATTTCATGGGCTCTAAGAATGGTTGGTCTCCTCGAGACGGAAATGGTTTGTTTGGAGAGAGTTAAAGAGTATTCACAACTCGAACCGGAATACAGTTGGGAATCAACGGATGCTAACAAACCCTCTGATCTTTGGCCCCGAAGTGCTTCCATAGAGTTCATCGATTATAGCGCTTCCTATAGACCGGGACTCGAACCGGTTCTCAAGAACTTGAACTTCAGGGTAGAGTCGGGAGAAAAAGTGGGAATAGTTGGCCGGACGGGTGCCGGGAAGTCGTCGATGACTTTGGCGTTGTTTAGGATAATAGAGCCGACATTCGGACAGATAGTAATCGATGGCGTGGATGTGACTCGTATTGGTTTACATGACTTGCGGTCGAAGTTAACAATTATACCACAAGAACCCAATC